ATGAAAATTTAAGACCTTAGAGAAATTACTCATAATCCCTCATGATTAAAATTATGTGTGTGTAGATAACTCAAAAATGTGATGTTACATCCAAAGTAAATTTATTGCTCATCCCTTTGGGGTATATGTTTTATCATTTTTACCCTAAATTGGGTAATTTGTTTTTAGCTTTTTTTCATATACTGTTTATGTAAAATAACTAAAGAATAATTCAGGGAGATTTGATTTTTAAGTCCCTGTTTTGGGGTTATTTAAAACTACAATTTGTATCTTTCCTCACAGCTTGGTTTTCTTTGAAGTATTACCATTGTTTTTCATTTATTAGTCTAATTTATAATTAAGGATAGCACATGAGTAAAAGTACATGTAATATGGTTTTTCATTTGAAATGAAGAAATTTTCTTCATTTCATAAGCAGTTTCATTCAGGCTTAATTAAATCACAAAATTAAATAACCTGTCAAGTTACCTTCCTTCAACATCAACCCCTTTCTTCTAAATCCATCATTTCATTCATTTAGCATATCTGTTGAATATTTGGTGTCAAATATAATTATTTGTTAAAAGATATATCAATGGAAAAACTTCATCATGGTTGTTTTAAAACAAATACTAGTTATAAACTCACAGAAGCATAAGTATTTTAGTATAGATCACCAGTGGTCTTTTTTTTTTTTTTTTTGAGACAGAGTCTCACCGTGTTGCCCGGGCTAGAGTGAGTGCCGTGGCGTAAGCCGAGCTCACAGCAACCTCAAACTCCTGGGCTCAAGCAATCCTACTGCCTCAGCCTCCCGAGTAGCTGGGACTACAGGCATGTGCCACCATACCCGGCTAATTTTTTTTTTCTATATATTTTTAGTTGTCCAATTAATTTCTTTCTAATTTTAGTAGAGACGGGGTCTCGCTCTTGCTCAGGCTAGTTTCGAACTCCTGAGCTCAAACAATCCGCCCACCTCAGCCTCCCAGAGAGCTAGGATTACAGGTGCACCTGGCCTTTTTTTTTGTTTGTTTTTTTAAGATAGGTGTCTCGGTATGTTGCCCAGGCTGGACTCAAACTCCTGTGCTCCCGCAGTTCTCCCACTTCATCCTCCTGAGTAGCTGGGACGATAGACATGTGCCACTGCTCCTAGCTAGACCCTGGGTTTATTTCTACAAATTGTGTTTCTAATATTTGGAATAGCTTTCAAGATTTGATAAAAAAAATGTTTTTTCCCTTTTTTTTTTTTTTTTTTTGCGACAGAGTCTGGCTCTGTTGCCTGGGCTAGAGTGCCATGGCATCAGCCTAGCTAACAGCAACCTCAAATTCCTAGGCTCAAGTGATCCTCCTGCCTCAGCCTTCTGAGGAGCTGGGACTACAGGCGCTTGCCACCACGTTTGGCTAATTTTTTCTATTTTTAATAGAGACAGGGTCTCACTCTTGCTCAGGCTGGTCTTGAACTCCTGACCTCAAGTGATTCTCCCGCCTCAGCCTCCCAGAGTGCTAGAATTACAGGAATTAGCCACCTCGCCCCACCAAACAAAAAAAAAATTATTTTTAAATGAGACAAGGTCTCACTCTGTCACCCAGGCTGGAGTACAGTAGCACGATCACAGCTCACTGCAGCCTCAAACTGCTGGGCTCAAGCAATCTTCCTTCCTCAGCCTCCGAAGTGGACTACAGGTGCATGCCACGGGGCCTGCCGAATTTTTCTATTTTTGTAGAGATGAGTATCTCGCTGTTTTCCAGGCTGGTCTCTAACTCCTGGCCCCAAGCAGTCCTCCTGCCTTGACCTACCAAAGTGCTGGGATAACAGACATGAGCCACTGTGCCTGGCCCTTCCACAGACATTTTAAAAAATAAATAATCCTGTATAAGATTATGATGACTATTTTGATGTGCAGTGTCTACTGTTTCTATTTTCGACACTGGAAAAGATGTAACTCAAGATGTAATTAAATCACAAATAAAAACTAGGTTTTCCTTTTCCTTCGTCTTTCTGAAATATGCCTGTCCTTAGAAATAAACAGTTTTTCCATGTCCTGAAGCTTATTTGACTCAGCAATGTACATAGCTAATAGGTACCCCCACTAAGGATTTAGAAGAGAATATATTCTTTCTAAAAGTGAAGAATATAAAGCACTAACAATTTCGTCTGATATTCAGATTTATTTGCTTGTTCTTTGGAGGCCTATGTGCTTATACCATTTACATGTGGAAAAACCTGGTGGAAATTTTTGTACAATGTCCTCATACAATATAGGATATGCCACTGCAATTATGAAATACTTTAAATTTTAGAAATTTATGTTAAAATGTGCCACAGCATTTGTTTACATTATTGGTCTCCCATTTACTAGTTCTTTTGCTTTCCTTCCTATTCTTGGTAATCTTCTTTACTTAAATGTCATCCTTTAAGAGGACATCTGTGTAAATATGGCTTTAGATAACACACTAAGTCCTAGGTGAGACTGTGTCATAGAAAAGAGAGCAAAGTTATTATTACAGGAAGACCAGTCCGGCAGAAAGCCAGTAACTGAACTGTTGCTGGTGTTTGCTGATTCTCCCCAATAATCTATTCAGCAGAGCTTTTGTCATTTATAGCTTTCAGGGTGTGTGTGTGTATGTATATATATATATGCGTGTGTGAATCTTAGGAGCTCTAAAGAGCAAAATATGTGTGTTTCTAAAAGAAATATTTATCAACTGTAAATTCCACTTGGCTTCATCCATTTTTCTAAAGTGAGCATTTACATTTATCTTTTTAAAATCTGTGAAATAACTTCTCTAGCACTCATCCTAGCAGCTTAGAGCCTTACTCCATATGTCATAATGCAAGTGCATCTTTTCCCTTGTTTGTGCATTTATTCAACATTTAACTAGCATTTATTAGGTATCTACCTTATGCCAGGCAGTGTAATCAACATGAGGAGGTATATAATGTGATCTCTACCATAGAGGTCTCTAGAGTCTGGTGGAAAAGAGGGATGTATCAGTGAGTGTTTAGTGACTAGCCAGCAACTATCTATAGACCTGGAGCTGTGAAGCACTGTGAAATCTGATGTTTTAGAAGCCCACTCAGTGATTTATAAACCTCCCCCTCCAGAGCTCTGTACTTCCAGAGTACTATTACTGGCTCTTTGCTAGCAGAGCATTGATTTAATCAGGGTTGGAATTTTCCAGGTATTATAACAGAGGGAAGGAGAGAGAGAGAGACAAGGAATTTGAAAGTGTATGCAAAGGAATATTTATAATGATGGACCATGGCACCTAAGCCAGGTAAGGGGGAAAGTAAGGACATGAAGAAAGTGATACATGGTGTTTAAAAGAGGGTAGGGTCAATGGGTAGAGGTTCTACTGGAGTCAAAGAATTGTTGAGATCAGTGCATAAGAGGTGGAAAGTTGAGCTGGTAGAAGTCAGAGAACAGGATGTCTGAAATTGAGATTTTAGGAGTGTGGTTATATAATGATAAGGTAAGCCAAATATGATCATTGAGCTAGGTAATGAGATGGAATGGTAGATACATCTTTCCACAAAATTACTGAGCAAGAAAATGATGTGACCACAAATCATATCTACCTACCTTCAAGAGCCTGTTCAAGTGTTAGCACTTGTTAAAATCCTTCCCAAATTTCTTAACTCTTCAGACAAAATTAATCTATTCCTTTTTCGTGTTTCCATTATACTTGTTCATAATGGACTATAGTTAATTTTTAAATAATTGAGAGGACAGGAGCAATATCTTATTTACCTATGAATTCCCAAGCAGACACAAATCCTGATCTAATATGGTGAATGTTAATGAATGTTTTTTCAGTTGAAGTGAGTAGAGAAATAGTGGCCACGGGGCAAGTAGAGATTTTGAGGTATAAAGGATGAAACTGCTATTTCAAAGTTGGTTATTGTAAAGACAGGTAGATGTATATCAAACATATTTAATAACAGAAGTAACTCAAGCTCTCACTTATCCATAAGTCTTCCCTACTCATTCTAGTTAGTACTCTTCTTGCCTTTTTTAGTTATGAGTTCACTATACTATATTTTTTATCAGGTCGCGATCAATATATCACTTTGTTACTTTCTTACATATCAGTTTTTATTTAATAGCTTCATGACTTATCTCTAAAAAGACCATGACATTCTTGTTAGCAGGGCCAAGGGTTTATAGGGCACTAAAGGCTGTACTCTAAAGGACCTAGTCAACTGGAGACATTAATTTCCTTCTATAAGGGACATACAAATAAAGGGAGAAGGAATGGTACATTGGCATGCCAGCTCAGCTGTCCCTGTTGAATTGGCTTAACTTTGGGAAACCAGAGAAAGCACCTGCTGTTTTTCATATAAAATTTGTTGAATTGAAATGAACAAAGGTTTGTTTCTTGTAAATGAAACTGTGGAGATATCATTAGTGGTTCAAATCCTCATTTCCTGGCTCTAAAGGTATCTCCATTGTGGCATTCGAGAGTACAGAGCCATATGTCTGCATTGCTTTTTTTCTTCTCAAAATCAAGAAGTGAATGTTCTTAGTGTCATTCACTGGGACCTTGAGTTCTCTTGACACAGTTTTTATAGTGATGTTTATTACCATGAGATTATAACTGCCTACACATACACTATTACTAAAAACTTCCTCCAACATAACAACTATCTAGTTTGTCAAATCAAATGTGGCTTTCCATCTAATGGTATCAACAGTAAGTCACAGCATGACTCCTCATGAAGTTTCCTTGTCTACTTCAGTTAGAGGTTTTATTTCACTGGTATAAGTCACTTCTAAAGGTATAATTTTCATCTCTCTAGGAAATTTTGCACTCCCCACAGATACCAATATTCTGTTAAGTTTTATAGATAATAGCTAACCATGTCTGTGACTTAGCTTATGCTATTACCATGAAATTGTATGAATGATCTTAATATTGTCTGCATTAGTGACATTTTCGTAACAATTTTATTTTTAGCAATCTTATTTTTATTTTATGTTTATTTGTTTTTCTCTTAAAGGAAAGAACGCTTGGTGTATGTTGGCATCAGTATTGAAAACATCATTCCTCCACAAGTAAGTTTCTGATTTGTAGTATTTTTGAATGGGAGACTGCCATAATTGTTCTAAAATTTAACCCACCTTATCTAATATGAGCGGGTTTGAAC